TTTTTATCGATAATATTTTTTTATCGAAAATTAACTTTCTCTGATTTTTTATTTTGCTCGTGATTATTGAACTTGTGTATTTTAATTGAAATTTGTGGCCATTTTAATAGTTGAATTTTTTTGTACCATAGCAAAATTTGAAAATATAAGCCGTTGGGGAGAATTGGGAAGGACAAATAGCCGTTTTAAATTTCCTGGCAAAAAATAATGCCCCTTGCCCAGGCATTACTTTTGATGCCAAAAAGTATTGGACTTAAATTTAGGTCCAGTGATAGTGCTTCTGCTGGAGCAGATTTTGGCATCATTTTGACCTTTAAGGCACTATATTTGGCTTTGATTCCCATTGTTGGAGTTGCTCTAACTACAACAAACTCAAACTAGTTTTATTGATTGAACCAAATTTTGAAATATATTGTGCAGTTCTCAAGTCTGATTTACTGGCAAAACTCAACAAAGAGGTTAAGTCATTGGATGAAGATAGCTTGGTTTTTGGTTTAAAAACAAACCAAGCTCAAACACAAAATTTCAAGCTCGATAAAAATTAAACAAAGCTAACATAAATGTACGTACTAGTATGATGAAATCAAATGCCTCATACAAAATAATATTCACCATTCACTTCAACTATTAGATCAAAGTAATGGTGAAAGAGTTGAGAGAGGATTAAGCTGTTGAATACTGTGCCAATGAATTAAGGCTTCATTTGGATTTGAGGAATTTAGAGCTAAATATTTCAAATCCATAACATCATATTGTTTGTTTGGATCATTATGATTTTGTAGGGATTTCAAACTTGTGCTACTCTTTTTAAGTAAGTAGTGGATTTGAAATCCAACAATTATGCTGTTGAAATCTTTTATCCATATATATCCTTCATCAAAGTTCATATGATAAGAATCACATTTAAAGTCTCCAATAATACTAATAGGAAATAAATAATTCTCTAATTCTCATAAAACCGCTTATCTACTAGTCTCTGCATTAGCTTTATCTTACGAGTGGTGCTACGCTTACGCTTTACCATATAGTTCATCGCCTTAAGAGACCAGATTCTTGCTGATCTACTAGACTTGGGCACACCCTTAGCCAATAAGTAGCACAGACATGTATTCACCATTGCACGTTTATGTCCCCCTTCAGAAGCCTTTTCATACCACCGAGCCTGTCAAAGTTAAGAAATATGTTTCCATTGAATATTAGTCACAACAAGAATTTAAAGCACTCAACAACCATCATTGGCTACCACGTGACCAATGAAGATATGTTTCCGACCAATATATATAATAATTATACCGCTTCTTGGAGACATTCTTCCACCCCTCGACCTTGATGGAAACAAAGACCAAGTTGGTATTGAGCCTCAACATGGCCAATAACAGAAGCTTTGTAGAAATATGCAAAGGACTCCTTCGGGTTAGGAGGATTTGCTGAAAACGTAAGAATCTAATATTATGAGTTGGAGATAATTGGTATTCGACTCATGAACCTATTAAAACGTAAATTAGTAGTTACTTCACCCCTCACCTTGATTGAAATGAAGACCAAGCTGGTATTGGGCGCAAGCATGCCCACTAGCAGAAGCTTTGTATAAGTATTCGATCGCTTCTTTTGTGTTGGGAGGATTTGCTGGCACAATTATATAACAATCAATACATAATTCAAACGGTAACAACAATCAATTCACATTTTTTTTTCAATTTCCAAACACTATCATTATTCCAAATAATTTCTCCAAACAAAAAGCGAATACTTAATTAATTTAATATTAAAACGTTCCATTGTTCAAAATGTGATATATTCAGGGGGGGTTCGGTGGTTAGTTTAACGAGATTGAACTAAATAGTCAATTGCAATCCACTCTTGATCAGATTGCTGGGTCACTATCAAATAAGGGAGTAACTTTTCCACTTTTCGGGCCAACCCAAAAATAATCAGTCAAACCAAACATGAAACGATAAGTATCAATCACTTTACACTCAAAATTTCAGTATAAATCTATTTCAATTAAAAATTAGAAAAAAATATATACCTTCCAAATAGAAGGTAGCCAAATTGAAGTGTCCATCAGGATCACCCAAATCAGAAGCCCTCCTATACCATGAAATTTCTGCATCCGTTCTCTTCTTTGATTTAGAATAGTATATCAACCCTGCCTCCACCATAGCTTGCGTGGATCCACGCGCCGCACCCTCCAAAAAAGCCTCCAAAGCCTCATCCAAATTACTAGATCGCTTCTTCCCAGCCTCCACGAAAACCATTGCCTCACGCAATGGCTTGAGCGCGTCCCGCCACGCTCGGCAAACGAGGGAGGCAGCCTTCAGGTCAAGGAGCCTGAATGGTCCCGCAATTCTCACTATGATATCGTAGGGAAGGTGTTTGAAGAAATTAATATCAGGAGATTGCGTCATGGTATAAAGTGGAGAAAAAATAAACCGTGAAAAATTACATTACTATCACATAGATATATAAATATATACTAGTGTAAAACACTTTTCATACCAAACATTTATCAACTTGACAATTTCATACCAAATTTTTTTTAAAAATATATTTCATACCAAAATTCAAGAACTTTTGACACTTTTGCATTTTTCGTTAAAAATTGGACGGAACAATTTGTCTTAAATTTCCTTATTTTGATGCAAAGTTTTTGGAATTAATTTAAAATTATCAGTTATCCATATTATGAAGTATATATAGCAATATATGAGAGCTAATAACAATATTTAATGATAATAAAATAATTTAAAATTACCAAAAAAAAAAAGAATTGAGTCAAAATTTGAGAATTGGAGTCCACATACCATTTTCATATATATATATACTAGCGTATTCCCGTGCTATGCACAAAATTACACTAAATAGTAATTTTACGAAATACATTTTTGATATAATTATTACTATCTAAACTATTAAAATTATAAAATTGTCAAACTTGGTTCTTTAGTATTATTTTAAAATTACCAAAAAAAAAAAGAATTGAGTCAAAATTTGAGAATTGGAGTCCACATACCATTCTCATATATATGGGGGGGGGTGGGGGGGGGGGGGGGTGGGGGGGGGGGGGGGTGGGGGGGGGGGGGGGTGGGGGGGGGGGGGGGTGGGGGGGGGGGGGGGTGGGGGGGGGGGGGGGTGGGGGGGGGGGGGGGTGGGGGGGGGGGGGGGTGGGGGGGGGGGGGGGTGGGGGGGGGGGGGGGTGGGGGGGGGGGGGGGTGGGGGGGGGGGGGGGTGGGGGGGGGGGGGGGTGGGGGGGGGGGGGGGTGGGGGGGGGGGGGGGTGGGGGGGGGGGGGGGTGGGGGGGGGGGGGGGTGGGGGGGGGGGGGGGTGGGGGGGGGGGGGGGTGGGGGGGGGGGGGGGTGGGGGGGGGGGGGGGTGGGGGGGGGGGGGGGTGGGGGGGGGGGGGGGTGGGGGGGGGGGGGGGTGGGGGGGGGGGGGGGTGGGGGGGGGGGGGGGTGGGGGGGGGGGGGGGTGGGGGGGGGGGGGGGTGGGGGGGGGGGGGGGTGGGGGGGGGGGGGGGTGGGGGGGGGGTTCGTAAATTTATATTGTATAGCTAAATTTATTTTCAAACCAACAACAAAAGAAATTACGTTATAGCTCAATTTTATTAATTTAATTGTGTTACACATATTTAGCTTATTGGGCTTTGAATTCTGGTCGTAATAGTTTTATGCAAGATTTCTAATGTAGGAGGATTTGATATAGACGAAGCTGAACCATCTAATAGCATTTTATGAGCATTGGAATATCACGAGTTCACGGGTCAACGCAAAAACAGAGAATATTCGAAATTTATTTTTGAATTGGCTTTTTTTGACATATTTAACTGTTTTGGTCATAACTTTAGCTACAGTTGTCAGAATTGCGATTAAGACCCCAATATTCACCCAATTTTTAATCCTCAAATTCCTTCATTTTTCCCTTCAATTTTGCGTTTTTAGTTATTTTTTGCCATGTTTTGTAATATTTGACTAGTTGTTTTGGATGTCGATTTGAACCCGTTTTTGGCCATTTAAACTGGGTCACCAAAGAAAGGTTTTTTGGCAATAAATCCGATGCGTCTTTCAAAGATGTTGTGGCTGCCACAGCTTTTATTATTCGTAATCATTTTGGTTCCATCTTGTTTGCTTCTTCTTGCCTCCACAACTGCCTCGATCCTACTGTTGCTGAAGCATTAACAGTCAAGGAAGCTTGCTCCTTTTTTAACTTTTTTATAGATTGATAATGCTATTTTTGAATCCGACTGTCTAAACCTTGTGATGGCTATTAATAATTGGGAGTCTAATCTAGATTGGTCTATTGCGGGAATTGTTGAGGAGATAAAAGTGATTTCTAACTGTTGGCCACGTTGGAGTTTCAAGTTCACCGTTAGGAATGCAAACTGTGCTACCCACAACTTTGTTTCTTGGGCTTTTAGTTTGAAATGGACTGCCCCTTTTAGTCCTTGTAATATTCCTATTTCTGTTTTTTGTGACGAGGGATCCCCCCTTGTAGACTGGTGTAATTTTTCGTTTTAATTTGGAATGATAGATTGTTTTTTGTATCAAAAAAAAAAAAAAAAAAAAAAAACTGGGTTATTTTTGGATTTTGTCATTCTTGGCATATTATACCGTTTTACCCTTATTGACTATTAGTCTGGCTTGTAGACTAACTTTGAATTAGTTGATTATTTTGAGATTTCAAGAGTTTATCTTTCATATGTTTCGTTTCTTGCTCCGTTTTCTGGTACTTCAAGGAGGTTTGGCGCAATAAAAAATTTCAGAGTGTAATTTCGTGCAGGTTTAGCATAAAATAGGGTAAGTATTTTGCATTCACCCCTAATGGGACCATATATAATTCGTTCTTCATGTTTATATAAATTTAATAAATGTGATATGGGACTAATTTTTGCAACTGTAATAATTAACGTTAGTATGTAAATTTTGTTATTTATTGGGTACCCATTTGCACGAATGAAAAATAATGTATAAATTGTAGTAATAGAATTTTTTTATAAAAAAAAGTTCCGCTGCCGGGACTCGAACCCGGGGCACAATGAATGTGCCGAATTCATCTATTGAAAGACAACTTTGCTACAGCGGAGTCTTAGTTTAACTCTGCGACAAAATCCTTATATATCACTTCGAGCATATCAGAGCAACTTCAAGAGCAGCTAATTAAATTATTATATTAAATCATTAAATATTAGTTTAAGTCTGCCGAATTCATCTATTGAAAGACAAGTCTGCGAACAAATCATTAAATATAAATGTTTTGCTACACAATTTACATATTTAAATTATTATATTCAAATCAACATTTTCGTAAATTTATATTGTATAGCTAAATTTATTTTCAAACCAACAACAAAAGAAATTACGTTATAGCTCAATTTTATTAATTTAATTGTGTTACACATATTTAGCTTATTGGGCTTTGAATTCTGGTCGTAATAGTTTTATGCAAGATTTCTAATGTAGGAGGATTTGTTATAGACGAAGCTGAACCATCTAATAGCATTTTATGAGCATTGGAATATCACGAGTTCACGGGTCAACGCAAAAACAGTGAATGTTCGAAAGTTGTTTTTGAATTGGCTTTTTTTGACATATTTGACTGTTTTGGTCATAACTTTAGCTACAGTTGTCAGAATTGCGATTAAGACCCCAATATTCGCCCAATTTTTAATCCCCAAATTCCTTCATTTTTCCCTTCAATTTTGCGTTTTTAGTTATTTTTTGCCATTTTTTGTAATATTTGACTAGTTGTTTACTTGTTTTGGATGTCAATTTGAACCCGTTTTTGGCCATTTAAACTGGGTCACCAAAGAAAGGTTTTTTGGCAATAAACTCCGATGCGACTTTCAAAGATGGTGTGGCTGCCACAAGTTTTAATATTCGTAATCATTTTGGTTCCATCTTGTTTGCTTCTTCTTGCCTCCACAACTGCCTCGATCCTACTGTTGCCAAATCATTAGCAGTCAAGGAAGCTTGCTCCTTTCTTAACTTTTTTAAAGATTGATAATGCTATTTTTGAATCCGACTATCTAAACCTTGTGATGGCTATTAATAATTGGGAGTCTAATCAAGATTGGTCTATTGCGGGAATTGTTGAGGAGATAAAAGTGATTTCTAACTGTTGGCCACGTTGGAGTTTCAAGTTCACCGTTAGGAATGCAAACTGTGCTACCCACAACTTTGTTTCTTGGGCTTTTAGTTTGAAATGGACTGCCCCTTTTAGTCCTTGTAATATTCCTATTTCTGTTTTTTGTGACGAGGGATCCCCCCTTGTAGACTGGTGTAATTTTTCGTTTTAATTTGGAATGATAGATTGTTTTTTGTATCAAAAAAAAAAAAAAAAAAAAAAAAACTTGGTTATTTTTGGATTTTGTCATTCTTGGCATATTATACCGTTTTACCCTTATTGACTATTAGTCTGGCTTGTAGACTAACTTTGAATTAGTTGATTATTTTGAGATTTCAAGAGTTTATCTTTCATATGTTTCGTTTCTTGCTCCGTTTTCTGGTACTTCAAGGAGGTTTGGCGCAATAAAAAATTTCAGAGTGTAATTTCGTGCAGGTTTAGCATAAAATAGGGTAAGTATTTTGCATTCACCCCTAATGGGACCATATATAATTCGTTCTTCATGTTTATATAAATTTAATAAATGTAATATGGGACTAATTGTTGCAACGGTAATATTAAAAGTTAGTACGGAAAATTTATCATTTAATGGGTTCCCAGTGGCACGAATGAAAAATAATGTATAAATTGTAGTAATAGAATTTTTTTATAAAAAAAAGTTCCGATGCCGGGACTCGTACCCGAGTCAATGAATGTGCCGAATTCGTCTATTGAAAGACAACTTTGCTACAGCGGAGTCTTAGTTTAACTCTGCGACAAAATCCTTATATATCACTTCGAGCATATCAGAGCAACTTCAAGAGCAGCTAATTAAATTATTATATTAAATCATTAAATATTAGTTTAAGTCTGCCGAATTCATCTATTGAAAGACAAGTCTGCGAACAAATCATTAAAAATAAATGTTTTGCTACACAATTTACATATTTAAATTATTACATTCAAATCAACATTTTCGTTAATTTATATTGTATATCTAAATTTATTTTCAAACCAACAACAAAAGAAATTACGTTATAGCTCAATTTTATTAATTTAATTGTGTTACACATATTTAGCTTATTGGGCTTTGAATTCTGGTCGTAATAGTTTTATGCAAGATTTCTAATGTAGGAGGATTTGATATAGACGAAGCTGAACCATCTAATAGCATTTTATGAGCATTGGAATATCACGAGTTCACGGGTCAACGCAAAAACAGAGAATATTCGAAATTTATTTTTGAATTGGCTTTTTTTGACATATTTAACTGTTTTGGTCATAACTTTAGTTACAGTTGTCAGAATTGCGATTAAGACCCCAATATTCGCCCAATTTTTAATCCTCAAATTCTTTCATTTTTCCCTCTAATTTTGCGTTTTTAGTTATTTTTTGTAATATTTGACTAGTTGTTTTCGATGTCAATTTGAACTCGTTTTTGGCCATTTAATCTGGGTCACCAAAGACAGATTTTTTGGCAATAAACTCCGATGCGACTTTCAAAGATGGTGTGGCTGCCACAGGTTTTATTATTCGTAATCATTTTGGTTCCATCTTGTTTGCTTCTTCTTGCCTCCACAACTGCCTCGATCCTACTGTTGCTGAAGCATTAGCAGTCAAGGAAGCTTGCTCCTTTCTTAACTTTTTTAAAGATTGATAATGCTATTTTTGAATCCGACTGTCTAAACCTTGTGATGGCTATTAATAATTGGGAGTCTAATCTAGATTGGTCTATTGCGGGAATTGTTGAGGAGATAAAAGTGATTTCTAACTGTTGGCCACGTTGGAGTTTCAAGTTCACCGTTAGGAATGCAAACTGTGCTACCCACAACTTTGTTTCTTGGGCTTTTAGTTTGAAATGGACTGCCCCTTTTAGTCCTTGTAATATTCCTATTTCTGTTTTTTGTGACGAGGGATCCCCCCTTGTAGACTGGTGTAATTTTTCGTTTTTATTTGGAATGATAGATTTTTTTTTGTAAGAAAAAAAAAAAAAAAAAAAAAAAAAAAAAACTGGGTTATTTTTGGATTTTGTCATTCTTGGCATATTATACCGTTTTACCCTTATTGACTATTAGTCTGGCTTGTAGACTAACTTTGAATTAGTTGATTATTTTGAGATTTCAAGAGTTTATCTTTCATATGTTTCGTTTCTTGCTCCGTTTTCTGGTACTTCAAGGAGGTTTGGCGCAATAAAAAATTTCAGAGTGTAATTTCGTGCAGGTTTAGCATAAAATAGGGTAAGTATTTTGCATTCACCCCTAATGGGACCATATATAATTCGTTCTTCATGTTTATATAAATTTAATAAATGTGATATGGGACTAATTTTTGCAACTGTAATAATTAACGTTAGTATGTAAATTTTGTTATTTATTGGGTACCCATTTGCACGAATGAAAAATAATGTATAAATTGTAGTAATAGAATTTTTTTATAAAAAAAATTTCCGCTGCCGGGACTCGAACCCGGGGCACAATGAATGTGCCGAATTCGTCTATTGAAAGACAACTTAGCTACAGCGGAGTCTTAGTTTAACTCTGCGACAAAATCTTTATATATCACTTCGAGCATATCAGAGCAACTTCAAGAGCAGCTAATTAAATTATTATATTAAATCATTAAATATTAGTTTAAGTCTGCCGAATTCATCTATTGAAAGACAAGTCTGCGAACAAATCATTAAATATAAATGTTTTGCTACACAATTTACATATTTAAATTATTATATTCAAATCAACATTTTCGTAAATTTATATTGTATAGCTAAATTTATTTTCAAACCAACAACAAAAGAAATTACGTTATAGCTCAATTTTATTAATTTAATTGTGTTACACATATTTAGCTTATTGGGCTTTGAATTCTGGTCGTAATAGTTTTATGCAAGATTTCTAATGTAGGAGGATTTGATATAGACGAAGCTGAACCATCTAATAGCATTTTATGAGCATTGGAATATCACGAGTTCACGGGTCAACGCAAAAACAGAGAATATTCGAAATTTATTTTTGAATTGGCTTTTTTTGACATATTTAACTGTTTTGGTCATAACTTTAGCTACAGTTGTCAGAATTGCAATTAAGACCCCAATATTCGCCCAATTTTTAATCCCCAAATTCCTTCATTTTTCCCTTCAATTTTGCGTTTTTAGTTATTTTTTGCCATTTTTTGTAATATTTGACTAGTTGTTTACTTGTTTTGGATGTCAATTTGAACCCGTTTTTGGCCATTTAAACTGGGTCACCAAATAAAGGTTTTTTGGCAATAAACTCCGATGCGACTTTCAAAGATTGTGTGGCTGCCACAAGTTTTAATATTCGTAATCATTTTGGTTCCATCTTGTTTGCTTCTTCTTGCCTCCACAACTGCCTCGATCCTACTGTTGCCAAATCATTAGCAGTCAAGGAAGCTTGCTCCTTTCTTAACTTTTTTAAAGATTGATAATGCTATTTTTGAATCCGACTATCTAAACCTTGTGATGGCTATTAATAATTGGGAGTCTAATCAAGATTGGTCTATTGCGGGAATTGTTGAGGAGATAAAAGTGATTTCTAACTGTTGGCCACGTTGGAGTTTCAAGTTCACCGTTAGGAATGCAAACTGTGCTACCCACAACTTTGTTTCTTGGGCTTTTAGTTTGAAATGGACTGCCCCTTTTAGTCCTTGTAATATTCCTATTTCTGTTTTTTGTGACGAGGGATCCCCCCTTGTAGACTGGTGTAATTTTTCGTTTTAATTTGGAATGATAGATTGTTTTTTGTATCAAAGAAAAAAACTTGGTTATTTTTGGATTTTGTCATTCTTGGCATATTATACCGTTTTACCCTTATTGACTATTAGTCTGGCTTGTAGACTAACTTTGAATTAGTTGATTATTTTGAGATTTCAAGAGTTTATCTTTCATATGTTTCGTTTCTTGCTCCGTTTTCTGGTACTACAAGGAGGTTTGGCGCAATAAAAAATTTCAGAGTGTAATTTCG